AGGTATACTGACAGATACTTGAAATGAAAATATAGGGAACATACCAAAAATTTATATCACAAAGTTAGATTACGTAGTGTAGGAATTAGCGAATATTTGGGGTTATAATTATATAAAGGCAATGCCTAATTAATGACCGACATATGCCAATTTCGAACCCAGTATGTTTGTTTTGTGTCTCAATTCATTCCTTTAGGGGGTGTAATTATATGCGGGAGGAGCTTATATATTTTATTATCGGTAGGTTCGAGTTTTTATCATGGTTTCCTTAGAAAGTGGAATGATTACAACAGATGGCTAAATCGTCTTAGAATTCCATAATTTGTAGGGTAAAAGTATTTATTTTGAGTAACGACTATCCCCTATACTATGGTAGAATAAGCCTATATGGGGACAACCCCTACATACGGAACTAATCAGCTAACTATATTAATGTAAGAACAATATATGGGAACTACCCCTAAAAGGGGGCGAATATTAAAGAATTTTGGTAGGGAGATTTGTTACCATATGCGACTACAAAATACCAAATTACAGCGAATTCAATTGAAAAAGCGCTCAAAAACACCAAAATACCGAAAATTGAGGGTGTCTTATATGGGGGCTAACCGAAAAAATGGGCCTATATTTATAATTTTTAGCCAAGAAATTTGGTACCCAATAAGAATCCCGTGTACCAAATTTCAGCGAAGTCGGTTTAAAAACGCGCTCAAGAACCCCAAAATACCGAAAATTGGGAGTGCTCTTATATAGGGGCTAACCGAAAAAATTGACCTATATTTATAATTTTTGGTGGAGAAATTTGGTACCCAAAAAGAACGCCCTGTACCAAATTTCAGCGAATTCTGTTGAAAGGCGCGCTCAAGAACGCCTAAATATCAAAAATTGGTCGGAATCCTTATATGGGGGCTATGCCTAACCGTTGACCGATATATCCCATCTTCGAACTTGACCTGCCTGCAGACAAAAAACGACTCTATGAAAAATTTTGGCGATCTCTCACAATTCCTTCAGAAGATAGCGTGATTACAACAGACGGAAGGAGCGACAAACGCACTGTGGGCGAAATGGACGATCTAGCGTCGTTTAATTCAATTTTCAAAGTGTTTAATTGGGCCACAATTGTGTCTCTATCGATTACTACTATCCCACTGATCTAATATATCGATTCTATTCTGATTGATATGATCTAGTTGAACAGCTGTGAGCTTCAAGCTGTAAGCTTCAACACGTGTTTTCTTTGCATTGCCAAATTTTCTCTAAAGTAGCATTTGTCTCAATTAAGTGAATGAAAAGTTGATTTATTTATTGTTAGAGGTATGTATTAACTAAAAACAATTTTGTTTGTGACCTGTGCTTAAGTGTTGTAGAAAAAATATAGTTCAAGTGTACTATACCACTCATCTGCTTGAAAAAATCCAAAGTAAGACTTCCGTAGACCGGAACTTCTGATATTCGTGTGTATTCGCGCTAGAATATAGTTTTTTAAATTACTATGTCGATTTGTGATTGTAAAATGTCCAAATGATCTGCAGCCACCTGCAACTTTACATGATATTGCATTTTTTAAGAAAACTGTCGATGCTCAGACGAGAAGTTTATTTACTATGGCGCAACGAGCCTGTGCGTACTAAAAAAATTCTGTCATTGAAACTCATATATTTAATAATATTATTAATATCAACATGTGCGTTGCTAATAAAGTTCTTCTAATAAACAAAAAAATAGAAAATTTGTAGCAAAGTTGGCTGAGAAATGGAAATTCGACCATAGAAGCCGCCACAAATTTGAAGAAAACAACAAGGAGTGGTTTGACGGATAACTTTTATTAGTTAATCCACTGACTAATCGTGGAACACCCGATATAAAGTTTGACGAATGTTCCAACAAAACGAAACTAAAATGTTATCCAAATGGAGTCCAATTTACGAACTATTCAGCTCAAGTGCCTTTACAAGATATTGTAGATCATATTGTTACGCGCCTCGAAGAAGCTAATTTTTCTATCAGAATTTAATGCTGCTGAACGGAGTGAGCAGAATCCCATTTCTTGCGGTCTCAAAATCGATATTGAATCTTTTATGGAATATGCTTTACAGAACGCAGAACTTTTTATCATACTTTATCCTTGGTTTTATATGCCGTGTTCCATACATAAAATCTTAATACATGGAACCGATATAATTAAAGTATCACCACTTCAATTAGGAAAAATTAAATGGAAGCCCGGCGAAGATTACCGCAATTTCCGTGAGAACATTGTGTATCCAAATCGGAATAAGAAACTATTATTACAATAGTAATAATAGTTTCTTATTTCGATTTGTATTTTTTCCTTTTTTTTTTTTTGATTTATAATTAAATTTTTGTTATGAAAACAACTTAAATGTATGAAGGCTTAATAAGGCCAAAAATATTATTAAAAAAATTAATAAATAAGTGTTTTAAAAATGTTTTTATTATTAAAGTTTAATATATTCTTAGACCCAAAGAATGAGAAACATTAAATATACTAACCTTATCATGTTTTCCTGAATGAAATAAACAAAGTCTAAAAAATGAAAATAGATTACCTACAGAGTTAAACAAAAAAAAAATTTTTTAATGTATTTATATATATATATATATATATATAAATACATTAAAAAAAAATTTTTTTGCTTAGCTCTGTAGCTTAATCTATTTTCAACTAAAAAAAATATTACAAAAAATAAAATACAAAATCCCTAAGCGCTATTAATTAAACGCCGCTAGATGAGCCTATTCGCCCACTGTGAAACGGTCGGAAATGAATATTTCGATGAGTTACAAACGGAATGACAAAATTATATACCCTCCATGCTATGGTGGAGAGTATAAAAATAACAATAATTTATATACCCTTCACCCTGCAGTGTATTATGTCTTTGTGCACATATTTGTAACAGGCAAAATGAACCGAGATAAACCCATGGTTCCTTTGCATAGAATCACTTTCTGAGTCAATTTATGCATTTTATGTCCGCCTGTCCGTCCATGTATTTTTGTGAGCAAAGTACAGGTTGCATTTGTGATCCGATTTGGATGAAATTGGGTACATGTTACTTATTTGGCCCAAGGACGAACCTCTTAAAATTGGTTAAAATCGGTTCAGATTTAGATATAGCTCCTGTATAGTTTAGTCCGATTCTATGTTAATGGAGCACCATACTGCCAATATTGGTCCGATTGAAACAAAATTTTGCATAGAGTACTGACTTAAAACCAGTATGCGAGGTTTTGTTGAAATCAATTCAGATTTAGATATACCATCCATATATAGTTATGTCCGATTTTATGTAAATTATGCACCAAACTCCCAATATTTGTCAAACAAAATATAGCTCTCATATATAGTTTCGTTCGGTTTTTGGTAAATGATTAACATAACTCCCAATATTTGTCCGATTCAAACAAAATTTTGCACAGCGTACTGACTTAAGTCCAGTTTGATGTCCGTGAAGTTTTGTTCAAATCGGCTTTGATTTAGATGTAGCTCCCATATATAATTCCAATTTAATGTAAATGGTGCACCAAACTCCTAAGGATTGTCCGATTGATACAACATTTTCAACAGCGTATTGAAATAGGTCCATATTGGGGTATACGAAGTTTTGTGGAAATCGCTTTAGATTTAGTTATAACTCCCACATATAGTTTCGCCCAATTTTTGGTAAATGGTACACAAAATTCCCAAAATTTGTCCGATTGATGCAAAATTTTGCACAGCGTACTGAATTAGGTCCAGTTTGATGTCTGCTAAGTTTTGTTGTAATCGGTTCAAATTAAGATATAGCTCCCATGTGTATTTTCGTCCGATTTTATATTAGCCTATATTTATTCGATTTACACGAAATTTGACAGAGGTGAGGTTAGACTGATGTCTATTAAAGTTGCAAAGATCGGTGTAGATTTAGATATTTCTCCAATATATATTCTCGCCTGTTTTTAAATTAAAATTATGGAGAGCGCACTGTCCTGCAGCATATCAAATGGTATATGCCACGGTTGCTCAATTAGGTCCCGATTTATATTCCCACATACATTTTATACAAAAGAATCCGATTGACATGCAATTTTTCATAGATTTCAGAATGTAGATAACAAATTTTGTTCCGCCGGTTTTATTCCAATGGTCCTCTAAAGATTATATGTCTGTTCTATCTACAGGATATTGTAAATATTTGCATCTCTTATATATATCCGAAGTGGTGAAGGGTATCATAGGCCCTGTCGGAGCTTTCCTTACTGGTTTTATTTGTGACACATTAAGATCGATTGGAAAGTGAACAAAATTACTCAACTCTTGCTACGTCCCTATATATATTTATATACTAGAAATTAGCAAAAATTTCGTCGACACCTTCCATTATTGCGACCTATCGGTTACTACTAAAAGTGCTATGATCCATCCCAAAATATGGATTAACAATAGCTTCAACATATTTTTATTTAACCGGTAAATATCTATATTGTTTTAAGACATTTAGCAACGACATTGTTATCCAGCAGCGACGGTCAATGAATCTCTGATCCTGTCGAGGTTAACATGTTTATAAATAAAAAAACATTTACACACATGTGGAATATTATTTTTTTAAGCCTAAACTGGTTTGGATAACACAAGTGTAGGGTAATACTGGTGAGCGTAATAAATGCAGTTGTAAATTGTATGTGACTTGAAATTAAAATACCGAGGAAGATATAAAAAGCTTTAATAAAACTAAAAAAACGAATTATATTCAGAATGTTAAACAAATTGTGAAGCTTTACTTGGGAGATTGAGAGCAAAATTTGGGAGATTGTGTTCTGATGGTGAGAGGGACAAATTGCAATTTTGTTTCAATTTCATTGCGGGATGTCAAGTGTTAAGCATGGTGTTGTGTGACGTCCCAGTTCAGTAGTCCGCGGACTATTGGCGTGACGAGATTGGTTTGGTGTGTGCAAAGAAAACGCTTATCGGGAACTGGGAATTTACGGCAATGATCGTTTTGCAAGTTACAGTGTTGCTGTTGTGCACACTGACCTTGACCGAAGCCGGACGTGTTAAACGTGTGGTAGGTGGTCATGCGGCGAAAGCACCACCACCCGATGATCCCGTAGTTTTTACTCGCATATTTGAACGTGATGCTCGTGTAGAAGGTTTTCGTAATCCTCATAGCCGAATTTATAGTTTCTTGGGGATCTATTATGCTGAACCACCAACGGGACAAAATCGTTATGCCCGTCCGGTTTATAAGCGTTTGGCTGGCGATGTAGATGCCACTAAACATGGACCACCCTGCATACAACCGGATTCATACAATCCGAATCGTATTATTGGCGATGAAAATTGTTTGCTGCTGAATATTTATACCCCACAGATGCCGGATGAAACGACGGGATTACCGGTCATTGTTTGGATACACCCAGGGGGTTTCCGTTATGGTTCGGCTGCTCAATATGATGCAACGCCGTTGGCCCAGAATGGTGTTATTGTTGTAACACCTCAATATCGTTTAGGGTCCTTGGGTATTATGGGCGACGGTACCAAGGAGTTTGATGGCAATTTGGCCATATTTGATATGGCAGCTGCTCTGCGTTGGGTCGGTGATTATATTTCATATTTTGGTGGTGATCCGAAACAAATCAAGGCTGTGGGTCATGGTTCGGGGGCGGCAAGTGCCATGTATTTATCGATGTCACGTTCGGCAAGAAGTGCAGTTGATATTACCGGTGTGGTGGCAATGTCGGGTACGGCTCTTTCACAATATGCCACCGATAAGGAACCCGTGCAGAGCGTTGGGGAAGTGGCTGAGATTAATGGCTGTTCGGCTGGCAATGAAACTGAAATTGTGAAATGTTTGAGAAAGGTTTGTGGGGAACTTGGGTTCTTATCGGGAATAAGCTTTTTAAATAATTTTTTTCTTCTTCTCAATTTTTGTTTAGAAAAAAGCTGAAGACATCATCGCCAATGATTCGAAAATACAAACGGAACGTTTGGCCGGTCGGGCCATGGTCAAGGCTTTGGGTGGCAGTTTGGGTTTCCAGCCACACATTGAGGGTACTAATGATAAGCGAGCCCTGCCCAGCCTAATTGAAGATGTGCCCGAACAACAGCTGAAAAATGGAACCTTTACTCCGATTCCCATATTGACGGGGGTAGTTAAACATGAAACCGGCAATGCCTTTAACTTGGATACAATTAACAACATATTTGGGTCGGCAGAGAAATTTTTGGGTTCTTTAACCGATACTCTAATGGAATTGTCATCATTTTTGCGTATCGATTCAATAACGGGAAAGATTGCCAAACCAGCACTGCCGGGATTGGCAAGTGAACTGACACCCACACTGGAACAAGTTCTGAAGATACCAGAGTCATTAAATGTACATGATATTTTAAAGAAGGTAAATTAGGTAAGGATATCGGAGATACAAATTTTATTAAATATAATTTTTCCCTGCAGGTCACTGAATCTACCACGGATATCCTCTTCAACTTGCCTGCCGTGTTGACCACTCAAACCTGGTCCCAAATAGCTCCAGCCTTTATGTACAGTTTTGAATACAATGGCACCACTTCGAAGGGTATCAACTTCCTACGGGGTTTACCTCTTGTAGGTGACACAGACCCCACGGATAATTCAATTGTTGGCCATGGCGATGAATTGGGCTATCTGTTCGATTGCAACGACATCAATGGTAATCCGCAACCGAAGACACGTTTAAATTCTCCCGAAGATATGAAAGTTCGTAAAAATCTTATTGATATGTTAGTGAGGTTTACAAAAACCTTTAAAGAGGACACCAAGCAAGGTGCCTTCACCGATAATTTATTTAAGAGTGTAACCGGTAAAGGTATTCCTTTCCTGAAGGTTGATACAAGCCTGGAGACATCATCTGATTTTCGTTTTTGTGAGCTCTCGGTGTTGGGTGCATCTTTAAGTCCTTTGACCTCTACCTCTTGTCAGGGCTTGAGTTCAATAATAACCGGTTTAACTGGGTCATTGGATGGCATCGGCAAAACATTGGGTACGGTTGGCGATAAAGCCACTAATCTGTTAGGTGGCGGTGGAACTGGCGGAGGTCTTGGTCTATTGGGTGGTGGTGGTCAATCATCATCGAAGGAATCAACAAATTCAAATCCCTTGACAAATATTTTGGGAGCATCATTAACCAGCGGTGAAGTAACGAATAACAATCCACCACGCAGAACAACTACTCGACCAAGTGGAGCTTTTGGTCTTTTGGGATAATAAGAGTTTGAATATTTTTTTTTTTATAATATTTTTTTATTATTATTTTTAATCATTACCATTATTATTTTTAAGCTATGAAATATGACAATAATAAATCGGCATACACTACATTAGTTTAGTAATATTAAGGAAAATATAAAATATCTGTTTATACCCTCCACCATAGTATGGAGGGTATATTAATTTTGTTTTTCCGTTTGTAACTCATCGAAATAATCATTTCCGACGCTACAAAGTATAAATATTCTTGATCAGCGTAAAATTGTAAAATTCCGTCTGTCCGTCTTTTGTAATCACTCTAGCGTCTAAACGAATTGAGATAAATCGCCAAAATTTTGCACAGAGCCGTCTTTTGTCTGCAGGCAGTTCAAGTTTGATGATGGGCTATATCGGTCCACGTTTAGGCATAGCTCCCATATATGGGTACCCCCCCCCCAATTTTTGGCATTTTGGGGCTCTTGAGCGGGTTTTTCAACCAAATTCGCTGAAATTTGGTACATTGAGTTCTTATTGGGTACTAAATGTCCCCACTTTTTCTGGTATCCCCTATATAAGGGTACCCCCACAATTTTTAGTTTTTGTTGGGTTTTGACCGGATCTTTTCACCGAATTGCCTGTAATTTTGTATTTTGAATTCTTAATAGGTGCAAAATCTCTCTACAAATAATTATATATATATATATATATATATATATGCCCCCATAAAGGGTACCCTCCAATTTTCGGTATTTTGGGGTTCTTGAGCGGTTTTCAGCCAAATTCGCTGTAATTTGGTATTTTGTAGTCGTATATGGCAACAAATCTTCCTCGCAAAAAAATAATAATATTCGCCCCCATTTAGGGGTAGTCCTCATATAACCCCATATTTTATATTAAAATAGCTAACTGATTTGTTCCGCTTTTTGGGGTTATCTCCATATACCCGTATTCAACCATAGTTTGGTGGATATGCTTTACTCAAAATTGTCCGTTTATACCCTACATTGTATGGAATTCTAAGATGATTTATTCGATTTATACATCCGTTGTAATCATTCTTCCTTTGGAGGATATCGAGATAAAAAACTAGTCGGTCAGGTTCGAGAATGACTATATCGGCCGGCTTTTGGGCATAGTCCCTATATAAAGCCAATCGGCTTAAATTTGGGTCTTTGGTGCACTATTTACCTAAATTCAGACGAAACTATATATGGGAACTATTGGGTTCGTCGTAACACCAAATAAATGAGCTGAGCCAAATTTATCCAATTTGGATCATAAATGCGACCTGTAATTTGGTTACAATTTAACATGGGCAGACAGGCAGACGGACATTCACAAATCGGCTCAGAAAGTGATACTATGGATACTCTCAAGAGGAAACATGTGTCTATCTCGTTTCATTTTGCCTGTATCAAACAAATGAAGAGTATTAATATTACCTTCGGAATTGAGCTATATCGGCTCTTAATTAGGCATACTATATCTTATATTATAGAAACGCCAAATATTCGATAATTCCTAAAATGGTGTCAATATTGGTCCCGCTTTAGGAATGCCTCATATAACTTTGTCCTCTAAATTGCAGCATTTTGAGGATTTAATACAAATGTTTCACCTTACCATGCGTTCATAATGTAGGTCACATTTTTAGGGTTTTGAGTTTTTAGGAAAACCTCCTCCAACCAAATGCTGAATTTGTATTTGGTCTACATTATACATTATGGTTTGCAACACTCGATACCACATACCACTTTTTGGTTAATTTCACATAACTGTATGTATTCCTATGGTGGAGGGTAACCTAAGTTCGGCCCGGCCGAACTTAACACTTTTTTCACTTGTTTTTTCTAATCAACATCAATATAAGGTGAAGGTAAATCAAGTGTGGTGAAGATAAATCAAGAGGTTTCACCAATATTCCCAGCGTCGAATGAGTAATAGGGAACTGAAATAGGATGTAGTCATTGGGTGACCAGTAAGGTCTGTATGGCGGATAAGCCATCAGTTCTATGAAGAACCATAAGGTGTACATTCAAAATAAATGAAATCGTTCTGAATATTTGTATGACGGAGATGGCATTATACATTGCTGCCAGGACAAACCAAAATATCACACTGTAGACACTAATGTTGGACAATTGGGCTAGGACTTTGAACATTCCGAAAAAGTGACCTTTGTATGGTTAAATCCCTAAATAGCGATTCTGGTTAATTAACAAGAAATCCTTACTATTACAATTTTTATTCCCTTCCCTCCATTTTTACTGTTTTTTCATCACCAAGCCATATCAATAATACAATCTTCCTTGCTCCCAAGTAAATCCATTTAAAGTTTCAATAGCAAATAAACAACAACAACAAAAACTTATCAGAGTAATTAAAGTTTTTCCTATAGATTTACACTTCAACATAATTACTTATTTAGCAAATCATTAACATTGCAACAAAAAAATACAATTGTGTGGGTGTTTGTCTACGACGGCTTGTATTACAATTTCCCTTCATTTAATTACATTGATATGTTGTTGTTGCAGCTGTAATGTTCACCAGGTATTATTTAACATTCTTAGTAAGTAAGTATCTACATACCGTCATCATCCACTATAACAATCCGACTGAAAATCGTACAATATAATTCACCTCATTCCATAGTAGTTCTGATGTATCATTATATTGGAGTGTAGAATTTTCATCTAAATGAAATCTGCAGCGTCGAAGTAGACAAGGCGTCTACCAGAGACTATCGAATTATAAATAACAGTGGGTGGAATTTGATTTACAATGGAAGTGGAAAATGAGTAAATATAAACTTTATCAGATTATAATTCTGTGCCAATTTTAACGTGACCGTCCGATTGTCTGTTGAACTGACTATGGAGATCACAATATTTCAGATTGAGCTTTGTTCAAATGTTCAAAACACATTGCTACTACTCCTAGGATGTTTGGTATTGGATGTGTCTACGTTTTAGAAAAACTCCCAAAATTATCGTGTCAATCGGACATTTGCTCTGTGATCAATTTATATAACATCTAACGATACTATACATGGGAGCAATAGCTAAATCTGAAAATCACAATTTTAAAGGCTTTAGTCGTATATCACCACAGCAGTGACTGTTATTTAGCGTTCTGTTCTCTTCGAGGTTGAGAAAGTTTCGCAAAATATTTCGATATAGATCTATGATTTAACATGGACTCCATGTGAAGACCCCGAACCATTTTCCATATTTTCATGGTGGTAGCTGCATTTTCCCATCAAAGCAAGGACAATTTTGTATTCTGTATTTTTGGAAGCTGACATACATCCATTAAGAAAATGATCAATATTGCTCCATGATTTGTCATAGTCCCTTTGATGGTTATTACCAGAGATGGCCCATCAGAAACAGTGACGTAAATGACCTACATTTCCTACATTATGTATGCTTTAATCAAATCCATATCAAATTTCAAAATTTTCTTTTCTAAAAAGTTTGGAATTGTTTATCAGTTCCAGTAAGGAATATTCAGATATATATAAAAATGATATATATTCTACAAAATACCTATATATGGAAATGATATTCAAATAAATGATGTTTATTAAATTTATTACATTTTATACAGGTATATGACGTTTTCGACGTTTACACCTTTTTGTCAGTGAAAAACCTAAAAATTTGATTAACATTGCAATCATTTAATTTGTTCCATGTTGATTTGTTTACATCAAATTTTGAATATGATATCTCTCAAATGGCCGCCTCTGGCGTTAATGACGTATTGTGGCCTTTTTGCTGCATTTTCAATCGTTTTTGCCAACATTTCGGCCGGAATAGCGGCTATTTCTTCATGAATGTTGCAAAATTTCCTTGGCTTGTTAAAGTAAACCTTTGACTTCAAATATCCCCACAAGAAGAAGTCAGGCGGCGTCAAATCGGGAGAACGCGGTGGCCAGTAGAAATCACCACTTTTCGACATCAAATGGCCCGGAAACAAATTCTTCAGAAAATCGATTATTATGAGACTTGTGTGCGGTGGAGCGCCGTCTTGATGAAACCAGAATTGCCTCATACGCTTTCGACGAATAATTGGCATCACAAAATTGGTCATCATGTCGCGATAACGCTCCTGATTGATGGTAAATGCATGGCCATTTGCACTAACGCCGCACCAAACTGTGACTTTTTCGTCATGAAGAATACTCCTGAGGATTTTCAACGTAAAAACAGTCCCATTCAATGTGAAATGGGCTTCATCGGTCATGATAATTTTGTTCCAAAATTGCTCGTCATCTTCGGCCATTTATATATTTGGGCCCATTCCAACCGGCGAGGCTTGTCCGCAGGCAACATTCTTTGCGTCAATTGAATTTTGTACGGGAACAAATGCAAATCAATGCGAATAATCCGTTGTAAAGTGGACCGAATCATGCCCAACTGCTGAGAACGGCGTTTTTGGGATGTTATGGGGATCAACACTGGCTCGTACGGCAGCGTCTCGGCCGATCGCCTTGGTCGACTTTTATATGGCCTCTTCGGATTAGAAAGAGCCTTACCAGTTGAAAATTTTTCGTATAAACGCTTAATGGTGTTCTTAGAAGGCGCACTTCTCACATTTTTAATGTTTTAAAAGCACGTTTAGTTTTCACAACTGACTTCTTCTGTTGAATGTAAATTTCCACTATTTCAGAGCGCTCGCGTGGCGTGTATTGGTTCATGGTAAAAATCTGCTTGGACTGACGCTTCAAACGCGGTATGTCATTAAGCGATATATATATATATATATATATGGCTATATCTAAATCTGAACCGATTTCCACGAAACTTAACATGCGTAATTCTACACTTAATTCAGTACACTTTGCAAAATTTCGCCCATCATTTACATAAAATCGGACGAAAATATGTTGGGGAGCTATATCTATATCTGCACCGATTTTCATGAAACTTAGCATTCATCATTCTGGACCCTATGCGAAATTTTGTGCAAATCGAAAGATATATAAGGACTTTGGTGCCCCATTTACCTTA